TGCTGTCAGTGAGCCTGCCTTATTCACACCCCAATTTGATGCTGTTAATCTGCTGTCAGCTGAAAAAAATCAGATAATCAAGACCTCTGAAATTACATTAACAATATAAGTTGAAGTTGGTGGGCTGAGCACTGGATGGAGTTTTTGAGATATGAGTTCTAGTTCTTCTGCTTATTTAGCTGTAGGATTGTGAGAAGACACATATCTTCTCTGGGCTATCTTGGTGTCTTCATAAAATGAGGAGGGTGTTTGTGTATTTGTAGGGTGGGGGGCACGCAGAGACAGAGACAGCTACAGACAGACAGATGGACAGAGTCAGAGAGAGACAGAGACAGACACACAGAGACACACACAGAAACAGACAAATAGAGAAAGAGAGACAGATACAGGGAGAGAGAGATAAAGACAAAAAGAGAGACAAAGAGACCCACTGATAGATCCGTCATGTAGAGCTGAATCAAAGTTTCTCTAAGTATAAAAAAAATAAAACTTTCAAAGGAGTTAACAAAATTCAGCAAAGAGTAACACTAACCCTTTAAGAAATTAATTCAAGGTTGCTTTTTCAGTAATCATCTCACTTAACCTCAGTGTTCTGTATTCACTCCTGATCATCTTAAAACTCTCTTCCCTTCATTCCAAAGACAACTGTCTCATTGTTGACCTCCTGACTCTTAGCTTTTCTTCTCATTTCAATTGGGACTTTACCTCCATCAACACCTCAAGAGTCATTTGTCATTGTTAAAAAGTTAGAGTGATGATGAGGAGCCAGCAAATGAGCCTGACAAGCAGTAGCTTGTATGAAAATCAGAAGGTTGTGTGTGTTTGAAGCCAAATAAAGAATGTATGATAGTGTGTAAAATGTTGCTAATACATTAGAGAAAATGAGTACTGAGAAGTGACCACAAGATTTGGAGGCATAGAACTCACTAATGATCTTAACAAAAACAGTCTTAATGCAGACACGAAGAAAGAACAGAATGAATAAAGTTGGAAACAGTAAATATTGATAACTCCGTTGAAAAGCTACTACTAAGAAAAGCAGAGAAACGAAGCAGTAGGAGAAAGATATTCAAGTAAATCAAATAGAATAAAATAAATGTAAGAAATAATGATTTGTGTGTGTGTATGATAAAAGGAATGATTCAAAAGAAAGGAAAATGGGAATGATTCTGAAAAGAGAAAATTAATGATGCAGAACATAATGGAAAGAAACCCCAGAACAATAGTTCTTGAGTATTCAAAAAGGAGTTCTGGCAAAGAAGTGGATATAAGGCCCTCCTTAGATAGAAACAAGGTCAGTTAATCCATAGCTACAGGTGTGAAGATAGAGAATATGCATCCATAAGCAGATATAGTGGTGTCAATGTAGAAAAATTCCCTTCTGGTTGTTTCTATTTTCTCAAGCTCAGCTGATAATGATCACAGATAACTTGGTATTTAAGGTTTTTTTAAAAAAGGAAGGCATGCTTTACTATCTAAAGAAGGGGAATATGGCAGGCTTAACAGGTAGTCCAAAGGCTCTGTTTGAATTTAAATTTAGGAACAGGAATTTAGAACATACTATCAAATACAGCTGGATATTTTTTCTCCAGTCATTTTTTGTGTGTGGGGGGGCAATGACAGGGGGTCGAACTCGTGACCTTGCCCTTGCAAGACAGGTGGTGGCACCACTGAGCTAAATCCCTGGCCCTTCCTTGTCATTTTTTTTGGGGGGGGGTTATTTTTTATTGAATTTATTGGTACATTCTAGGTATACAGTACAATCACACAGTTTTAATCTTGTAAGTGCAAGTAGAAAGTAAATAAAGAAATAGATTTTATTGGGTTGGGGATTTTGCCAATCCAACACAAAATAAATGTCAAAAAAGATATGAGATCATAAGACATAAATATAATGATGGAATATAAAAGTAAAGTTGCATAAAGAAAGAATAGGAAGAATAAATGTACAGGTTGAGTCAAGTACTAGAGGTGGTCAAAGGATTGTTTGAATAGGAATGATAAAGCAACTAAATAAACCAACCTCTCTATATTAGGCTGAATTTTTGGCAGAGTAGTTTTTTATTTTCATGAGTCATTTTTAGGAAGATGGGAGGTGGAGTATAGACAATTCTCTATACTCAGGTAGCAGTAATGTGCTTCGTTATAAATTAATGAGGGCAGGGGTGTTAATAAGAGGAAATAATATTTTATTGGGTTCTCTTATATCTAGCCATTTTCCCTAGGCATCTGGCATACATTAGTTTATTTAATTACTTCATCATCCCTATGAGGTGAGACAACATAAATATAATCAAAACCATTAAAGAATTTAGGCTTATGGTTATTCCACTGGCACAAGTCACTGAGCCAGTAAGCGGTAGCTAAGTATATGTATGTGTGATCATAGCATTTAAGAGCTTTCCCACCCCTAAATGTTTAAGACAAATAAGGAAATGTTTCCAAGAGAATAGTTTCTCTTGCTACTATTTTGCTAGTATCTGGAATTAAGGCAAGGGATGGTGAAGAGAGCAAAAGGTAATACATGTGCCCTAAGTCCAATACTACTGAGTGTCTGTGTGATAATCATGTGCTTTTACCAGGTAGTAATTTTACAGCTCCTCATTAATTTGGCTAGAAATATGGGTTTTCCCTTTTCTTTGGTTAATACCTAGTATATTATATATAGCATATTATATTAATTTAACAATATCTTATTATGTTTTTATTTAAATTCATTTTTGTCATGAGAAAAAATTATATATGTGATACAAGCATTCAACAAAAATTTATTTTTAATCACTTTGGCTACTTTACCTTTGGAATTACTAAATATTTTTTCAACATCTCAACAAAATAATACGGCTTCAAAACTGCAGGCATTAGAATGATTGAAATTCATGCAAATAATCACTTATTTACACTATATAAGTTCAGGTTGTAAAGCAAACTACCATTTGAAAATAATTCAAATAACACTTTGGGCTAACAATCTTGTTTATGAATGCTTCCTTGACCCCTATATTTCTTAACATTCTGCTATTTAGCTAGATTCTTTTATGCTAATATGGTCCAAATTAATAACTATTCAATTGTCATAGGTGTATTAAACGTAGGATGTTGAAGAAGCACTTCAGATGCAAATAAATTAAGGACATTTCATTTACTTGGAAATCGACAGCAGTAATAATTAAGGTGAATTACAACCACTTAAAGATATGCATTTTATCATAGAGTATATGAAAAATTTATAAACTTACTTTAAAATATAAGGCTGATGTTTTAAAAACTTAGATATATGACTGTGTTAAAGCTTGTGGTAAATCTCAAGTATAAAAACTGCAGTTTTCAGAAACTGAAAATCTCTCATCACACCTACAAAAACAGTATGTCTACAAAAGAGTTTCCCATTCATGTATTCAACCAAGTATAGATCAAAAACACTTGAAAAGGAAGAAATGTATCTCTATTCAACATGTACAATTTTTTCTTGTTATTATTGCCTAAGTAATATTATATAACAACTAAGTTGCATAGCTTTTACATTGCATATGGTACTACAAGTAATCTAGAGATGACTTAAAGCATGCAAGTGGATATACTTAGGTCATATAAATAAAGACTTCAGCATATGTGGAATTTGGTAACCATGGAGAGTCCTGGAGCCATTCTTCCTTCACAGCTATGAAATGAAGACATGACTATTACACACACACACACACACACACAAACACACACACACACACACAGAAACACACACACACTTGAACATTGTGATACTAGTTTCATTTAGCTTTATAGTTTTCAAAAGAGCAAAGAAATCATTAAATGTTAACTGGCAAATGATATACAATGACAGGAAGCTTTAATAGTAAATGGGAATTTCAATCAGAAGTCACAGAACTTCATTTAGACTTAATCCAGTCTGACAATAATAAGGTAACTGCAAACAGTCTCCACTTCTCTCTGCCTGCTTTCTGCATCCATAAAGTAAGGATTGTGCAAAGTAGTCTAACTTAAATTTTTTGCCTGACAGACATGATTAGGTATGGTGCAGATTTTTTCATCAATGAAATATGAGCTAGTAAGACACTCAAATAATTCAACATTGTGGGTACAGATGAGGACTACTGTCCCAACACCAAAAATCTGGGTGAATTCAGTAAGTTTAAAACATAATAACTAATGCTGACATCCTGCACAGCATGTATAGACATTAAATCATTTCCTGCCTTCACTTAAGAGATGGGGAAGAAACAGCTGTCTCTGATCTCCTTTTAAGGACGCAGTCAATTACAAAACAGCAGCATCATACTTTGTGTGAGTCCCACTGAAGTAAACTTTCTATTCACAAGGGAGAAATATTCCTGGTGGTAGTAAAAACAGTTTTGCAGGATTTAATCAAAAGTGAAAAAGAATTCCAAAATGTTCCCTTTGAGCCACATCATCCATTGCTAATTCAGGGTGGGCCCAGTAACAAGGGTAATAAAAAATGTCCTTAGTAACTGAGAAAGAAAAATGGCTATTAAGTGCATTTGCAACTCAATATGGAAGATTTAACTCTTTATTAATATAAGTAACAAACGTGAAGAAGGAAAAAGTAGAAGGCATCCAAACAATGAGATTTATCATTGATTTATTTAGAAAAGTTACTATTATGTATATAAACCAATGGGCAAAAGTTGAGAAATATGCTTCATAATAACTTCTGTAGCAACAACAACAACAACAAAAACCCAGTAAGTGTTGAAAGCCAAAGTAGCATTCAAGGACAAACATATATATATATATATATATGAGTACAGAAGGAAAAATGCAGTATCTCTACTGACCATGCAGGCAGAGTTTTTGGACACATGATTATTTAAAATCTTTGTAAATCACAGCATAGTGAGATAGACTCAATTCTCTAGTTAATCATGGTGATGCTGAAAAGTTACAATTGCAAAAAAGAACACCAACTTCTACATATTTGAGAAATAATTTATGACACAAAATTGAGAACAGTCAAAGACACTGACCTGCTCACATCAGGAAAACTGATGGGAAAGTAAATAACTTGGCATTTGGGTCTGATGATGCTTTCCAGATCCTTGGGTCTGTGATCAGGAATCAGTTTCATAAATTTCCCAATAGAAGTGAGAAATGACTCCATATTAAAAACTGAGTTGAATACAACAACATCAGCCACCAAGCTGTAAAGGAAAAAGATGTATGCAAATAATGAGATTAGATTCATTCAGAGTTATTTTATAATATAAAGTCTGTATTAATCAGAGTTTACATTGCACCTTAGGCCTAAAAAGAACATTCTATTTGCCCTCAGTATCTATCGAAGTGTCCCTATAGGAAAGTTAGTTTCATTAGTATTCTATTATAGGAAGTTGTGTTGGTGCCATCAAGGAGGAAAGGCAACAAGAGTATTGAAAGACTTAGTGGACTTGCATGAGAATATAGACCGAACCGTATGTTCCATGATGCCAGGAATTCTGCACAACAACAATACTGTTAAGTACACCAAGACTTCTTTTGTAAACTGACCACACCAAGTTTCTTTAGCAGTGATGCACTTCACTTTATACTATATTACTGAGAACAGGATGTTTATAATATTTCTGATTATTTAATTCATATAAAGATATTTTCATACTACATCATAATATATACAACACATTTGATTAAAATCTATTTCCTACTTTAGCTTTTGCTTTAAAAAGCTTGTGTTATATTTTTTAAAGTTCTGAGACCATACAGGAATGATAGTATATTTACAAATAACTTATTTCACTATTATATTCAGCAAATCAGAAAAGTAGAAAAAAATTAGTGGAAATGGATCCAGAAATCCATACCATTTGATCTGACTCCTAACATAAAAAACCATAATACAATAGATCTTTAGAATTAGCAGATGTGATATTGCCTACTGCTTTTCACAAAAAGACTGTTTCTCTCTTTAATGTTTTTAAAATAAAATAAATTGTTACATAAGAATATGACAGCAGAGCCCGGCATGGTGGTGAATGCACATAATACCAGTGTTCTGAGAGTCTGAGAAAGGAGGATCACAAGTTAGAAAAGCACTGTCTCAGACTAAGAAAATAAAAAGAACTGGGGATGTAGTTCAGTGTGAAGGTCCTGGGTTCCATCCTTAGTACCAAAAAAAAAAAAAGGAAAAATTTTTGTGAGATAAACTTGTCAGCAGTTTTCAGATTGTCTATAAAATTTTCTTGGACACTAATGAACAAAAACAGTAACTGAGAGGAACTGAATAGAACCTGAATGTGTAGTGTTATCTCTGTATGAATCAAAAACTGATTTAATAAATCAGTATTCTGATTTCTGTTCAATGTCACTGCATCTTAGTGAAATGCATACAAATACTTCCATAATCAGGTAACAGAAGATTAAATATACGAAACAGTTGGTTTGATTTTATCTTAAAAATACATAATAGATAAATAACATTGAAAAGAAGACATACAATGGAGGTTGAAGTAGGAGAATAAGTTTGAACCCATCCTCGGTGATTGAGTAACTTAGTAAGGCCCTATCTCAATTTTTTTATATTTAAAAAAATAAAAAAGGGCTGGATATGTAGTTCAGAGCAAAAGCCATGAGTTCAATCTCCAATCACACACAGAAAGAAAGAAAAGGCAAGGGGAAGGTAGGGGAGGGAAGGGGAGGAGAGGAAGAAGAGGAACGGAAAGGGGAAAGGGAGGGGAGGGCGGGGAAGGAAGTCTATAATAGGAATGCAAAACAACAAATCCATAAGGCTGATAGGCTGGATTAGAAATATCATATCAAATACTCCAATTAGTTTACATCATATTTGCTAAGCTAAATTTCCATTTATATATATTTTTACTGAGATAGGTTACTATTATTAATACACAGTAAAATGAAAAAAAAAACAAAGAAAGAAATATTGACTTGTCACCCCCATGCCTCCTTTCCAAAGTTACTTTTTGCATGGAAGTATTTTTCTTTCAGTTGCTACTTGATGCAAACCTAGGAAATGAGGATGATTACAGCATGGATAATACAAAGAAATGTCACAAAAGTGCTGACACAATGCTACGCAATACATAAGCCAGTAAACAATATACCATAAGTTGAAGAATGTTTTACCGCTAGTCTGTTTTCGCCATATGTCACATATTGTAATAGCGGCCCACAGATCATAATATATAGTTATGACATGCGCTCATAAGTCAGAGTTAGTGAAACCTCTGTTTAAGGTAAGCGCTTATGTCAGTCATCTCTAAAGTCCTTAACTGCCACACAGACATGGAAGCAATCTGACAGTGCCAACAAAAGCAGAAGTCAGCAAGAAAACTAAAGAAACATTTAAGGAAGCAGGAGTCATACTTTTCAAAGGAAATCAGAAGAGGACTGCTTTCTGACACTCTGATTTTTCCTCTGGACAACTGTGAACCATTTTTTTTCCTTCTAATAAACCAAAGGGTGTTGAAGGCCACATCTTTCCATCTATTCCTTGAAACATGTCTATCAGTTTATCCTCTTGAGAGGAAAAATGCAAAAATTATGTGAATGAATACAATTTTTTATAAAAGACAGGAGAGGCAATGAGCAATTTTTCTTTTAGATATCTGTCCTCAAAAGGCATGCAACACAACTACTTACACTCTTTAAAATCCAGTCTTACAACAAATTAAAGATTTAAGATAGTTTACAGAAATATTCTTTTTGGTACATTTCAGCCTGATATGAGGTGTAATTTCCATTAACTTTAACACCACATAAACAAGGAAAAATAGGCTTGATTTTTTTCCCCACTGATTTCTCAAGGGTAATAAACACACACTATCTAAAGAAAAAAACTGATGCTAAGTCAAGAAATCATAAAATATTGCAAATGTTTCCATATTGATAAAGCATAATTTTTTTTATTTTTAAAAACGTTTCCTTTCGTTTCGATACGAAATATTTTAATTTTATTATGAATTTAAAATGGTGGCTTTTTTATGAGCTATTTGATGTGAAGCAGTTCTCTAGTTTGTTAGCACTGCTACTTTACAATTGAAGCAGCTTGTAAAAATGATTGCAGGAAAACATTTACAGAATGCTCAAAAGACAGAATTATTATTATACAGTCATTTTTTTCTATGTTAACTCAACTATGGAACAGACTTACAAGAGAGGAGGGTCTGTTTAAACATATTATTGATGCCAATAACTAATAACAGCTAATAAGGGTGAATAAATGTATATAATCACTACCAAACTGATTCCATTTGCACTGGAGCAGTTATGTGACTAAGACCCAATAGCAAAGCCATGTCAGAGTTGTTATTAACTTCTTTCATTAACAAAGTATCAGTAGATAGACTTTGTAGAAGTAACAACAGAGAGATCCTCACTTTTAAAATGTCATGGTATTTTAAGACTGTATCATTTCAAAGATTCAATGAAAGAAGAAAAAAAACAAAAAAATTTATTTTCTATAATTTTCTGTCTTAAAAACAAGAGAAAAGACAGGGTAGAGTGGTGTTCTATTATGCATTAATCTTTATTTCTCTGGAAATTTCTAAAATTTGATTTAGCTGAATAAGTGAAAGAGATTGATAAATATAAGTTTACGAAATATAAAGTGCCCCTTCTAAAAGTATGCCTTGAATAATAAAGCATGGAATCAAGTGGTGAAGTTCCCTGCTAACCTCTCGATTCTATTTTGAATGTTATAAAAAAACCAGTAATTAGTCTAATGTATAATTGGAGTGTTTTATAAATTTTTAAACAAAAAGAGTAACTATGATCCTACATATACTGAAGAATCACAAGTAATTACTACCATAGATGGGACGTTTAAATCTTGGCAGCTACCATATTGTGTTTATAAGTGTACAGTAGGGCTCCAGATTTAAAAGCTAACCAGCTCCAAAGAAAAGGAAGGGAAAGGACAAAAAACAATGCAATCTATACCCACCATGAAAGAATTTGGTTGTATCCATATTGAAAATCCCTCTCCTGACATTTCTTGACAGGATACACCAATTGGTTTTCGTGGAAGTACAGAATCTTTTTCAATTTCCCAAGGTCGGGCCGAAGAGCAGCCAGTTCGGTCAGATTAAGCACTGAGCTTGCAAAGAGAATTCTAGAAAACAAGAAATTAGGGTTTACTGTCCTAAGTATGCTTTAAGGGTCATCATTTGCCCTTCTCTTCTTTCCTCTTCCAACCCAAGGAAAACATCATCTATAGGGACACATCAATAGTTGAGTTTAATACCATGTAGCAGCATTCGCATTCTAAATTTTAATCTCATAAAAAGCAAATGCTAAGAACTGTAAAAGCCCTGAATCTCATTGGTCTTCTCATCTCAGTTACGGAGAAATTGAGAAAAGGGGGAAAAAAAGAAGAACTGGATGGATTTTATTGAAAAAAGCAAGAAAAGCTCTATCTGAAGGACAAACAGAACAAAGATAAGGCTGACTGGGGAATACTTCACATTACACTTGTTTCATTACACTTGCTTTCTTTATGCAACCGACTACTGAAATTCAATACATGAGCAGGAATGGCACATGTGCATATTATAACATGAACCCTTTTGATTTATGCAAGACTGATCTACTACTTTTTCTCTTGGCATGTTTTCTTACCCACCCCCATTTGAAATATCTTATAACACTTGTATATTTAAAATATTTTTTTATCCATTATTGAACTGCTAAGGCACTAGATATACAATCTATAAAAACCCTGATATAAAGCACAAATTTAAAAATTGATACAAGTTTGATTTGTTGTCTTTGGAAAAAATAAGCTGAAAGAACACCTATTTGTGATAAAAGAAAGTGTTTACTTACTCTCTCATTCCATAAACATTTGCTTCAATGACTACTTGTGATAGAATAGGAGCAGGACAAACATAAAAGATGAATGAGACAGTTCAGTCGATGAATACTGTCTGTAGTAGAGATATATATGAAGTATCAGAGGATCAAACATAAAGGAGTAATAATAGCGATCCTAGAAATATTTCCTTAATGAGGTGTCTACCACACAGGAATATGAAAGACAAAGTGCAGTCCACGATCACCAGAAGACATTTAGATGGCACAATTTTGATAGAACAACACCTTTATAACATAATGTAGCATCCTTTGACCCTTCTAGGTTTAATTCTCATTCAAAAAAATGAGGTTCAAGAGGGTTAAGAATTCTTTCTGGAATCACACTGGCAAAAAGTTTTAGCAAAGCAGAGACTGTCGGTCTTCTAAGCCTGAAGTGTTTTTCATTACACAACAGATACAAATTGGTCGTGGACCCTTTACACTGCAAGTGTTTTATTCTGTACTTAATAAATATAAAATATCATCCTTGTTATTACCGTGATTACAACTACAATAAATTCAGTCTTGCTGACAAGCCAAATGGCTAACTTCAGGTGTTTATATGATCTGCAGCACTAGCCTTTCACATAAGAAGAATGATTACATAATAAGTGCATATATCATAAATAGGAACTCAAGTGCCTTCTTCATAGGCTACAAGAAGCACATAAGGCCAAAAGCCAGTAATCCCTCTCTAAACCACATATTAATTTTATGGGTTATCACTCTAAAGTTTAAAAAAAAAAATCTCATCAAGAGGTGCCATTTATTTTTTTATACCCAACCAAAGCAAACAGGAAAATTATGGTTAGATGATGCTCTGTTTTGTCCAAGGTAATCCCTGTTACTAACACTACCATTAAGTACAATACATTCTAGAACTTACAATGAAAAATTCTGAAAATATGAAGATAGTTGTTTTCCTACAAATCTGATCCTCAGCAGAGGAAAAAAGATTATTTTTTTAAAAAATACCAATTCTTATAAAACTTCCTTAACAGTGAATGAATGATAACTTGTGTGTCTATTATTGAGTGATTCTCCCTCTACTCCTGTTTTCCCTCTCCTCTCCCCCTTCACATACTATTGCAAGGCTGACTCACTGTTTTAATGAGACCTAAAAAAGCTGAATGTTTTTCACACAAAAAGAAGAAATAAGCATTAAATGTAGCCCCTTTATGACTAATTCATTACAAGGAAAAAAATGCAATGATTATGGCTTATTCATTCCAAGAATTGTAATGAAGAAATCTCGTAGACACCAACTGGACTAAGTGAGCAAACTTAGTACACTACACCAATAAGAGGACAAAGTAAAATCACGTATCCTTAAATGGGATGCACTGAGAAGGATACAAAGCATCAACGGAGCATTCCGCCTCAGAAAGCCTCATCTGAACTTGCTCATGAGGAAATAATCCGACAAATTTTCTGCAAAATAACTGTGCTATGTCTCCAAAAACGTTAATGTCATAAAAGAAAAAAATCTAGATTAGAGGAAAATAAAGACATCTCAAAGCAAAATTCAATGTATAATCCTTGATTGCTGTGATTATTAACTGTGTCAACTTGAGTAAGAAATGCCCAACTAAAGTTGATCAGCATAGTTAGTTCTAAGTGTTTCTGAAGGAATTTACTGAAGAAAGAAGATCCACCCTGGGTATGAGCAATACCAACTAACAGATTGTTTTATTTTGTTTTTCATTGCCCCCCCCTTCAACAGAATTAAAGGGGAAATGAAGAAAAGCTCTCTTCTGGTTCTATAGAGGAGCTGCAATCTTCACCTTCACCTTAGAAGTCATCTCCTGGATGAAGTGAAGACTTTTCAGCCTCCAGTACAGACCATTCCCTCCTGGGGATCCCCTTCCACAGGGGACTGTGCAGTGAGCTTTAGTCCTTTGACTGGATCCTTTAAATCTCTAGCACAGAGAGTCCTTCTGCACTTTTCCATCCCTGACTCTATGGGCAGCCATTGTATGCCAATCTTGTAAATGCTTATGTATTTGTACATCTTGCATTAAATGTTTCTCCGATAAGCACTTACTGATACAACTTAATACTGGAATGGGAAAACATAGCTACAAAGGACATTATCAGGACAAACGATGAGAATATGAACTGAATGTTACATTATACATTTTTACTGATCTTGAATTTCTCATATATAACAATTTTATTCCAGTAACTTAAGAGAATATCCTTATTCTTAGAAGATTCATGTCAAGTAATTTATATAAAGTGACACAGTGTCTGCAAGTAATTCTTAAATGGTTCACTAAAAATGCTACTACTAATAATAAATATTCATATGTATATATTTACATAGAAATTTAAAAGTGTACAAAAACATTAGCAATTGAAAATGTATGTAAATTGGATGCATTTCATTGTCTTATTGAAAATGTTTGGTAAGTTAAACATTTATAGACTATAGATTTGGGGGAATATATATTAAATAGTAGTAAGTGAAAGAAAAAAATTTCTCCATTCTCTAAACAACAAACCCATCAAATATATGTTTTTCTAGCCATAATCCAACTGTTAATTTCCTACATAAAGATTTTCCTCAGGTTGAACTATCTGTAAGGAAAGCCCTTCACTTTTACTACCTGTCCCCTCTCTTAACCTCTCAACTGATCCTTAAAGAATCCAAACTGAAAGTCCAGCCTTCTGAGGAAAAACTCCCAAATAAGAGAATGCAACATCATCAGAAGAAAAATGGCAATAATTTCATAATACTACCCATCTGAAACTGCCCACACAAGACTTCAGCGTAATTAAGGAAATTAATTGTACTTTAATAACAAATCTTGAAACACTCTGCATTTATCTCCATCATTCGTAAAGTATTTCTCCTTGTTTTCTCACTTAGGAAATGGTAGTTAAACTAGACAATAAGCAATTAGTCATATATTTAATTCAATGCCCAAAAGAACTGATGATGTCCACACATTAAAAAAAAAACAAGATACAAACCATAGGCAAATATTAGTTTCCTACCATTAATTTTTTAAAGTTGATAATTATACAATGAATGGCAGCCCTCAATCAGCAGTTAATCCCTAGGTTACCAATGTTCATCTTGCCTCAGGTATTATTTAAGCAATAAATTCTAACAAGATACACTTTATCATTCTACTGTGTGACTCTGGCAGAAAGGGCACAAGGTGATAGCAAAAACCACTAGGAACAAGATAATTCCTGACAGCTGCTGCTTGAGCACAAGTTAAATTGAACAGTTTATCTCAGCATGAAGATGTTATAAGGTTTTATGTTTAATATTTTAAAATTAACATAAAACCCAGAGAAAGCAGTTGGGCAATCTTTCACAAACATGACATACTACAATCACTGTATAAGCTGGATTAGTACTTATTACCATCCTACTACAGAATTAAGCTGTTTTTAGACCACCAAAGAGCTTTAAATTGCAACTTTTGTCTCTGTAAAAGAAACCTATATTTAAAATGTCTGCTAAATTCAAATTAACGGCTACATCATTAGCTTACCATTTCACCCAAAGTACAAGTTGCTATTATAATCGTCTAACCAAAATGGCTCTATGCTGCAAGCACATAATATCATTCCATGTATTCGGGATAGTAACCATATAGATATTTTAATTGTTTCCAGTGAAGATTGTATGTACAACTTGAGGTGTATTTGCTTAAAGAATTCAAAACAACTTAAGACAATAAAATTCAAGATTATAGATTTTACTCTTTTCTGCTCAGATTGAATAAATCTGTTTTGTCCTTTTTACCTTATTTACATAACATGTAAAAAAGAGGTGCTGCAATATACCCAAGTCCTATAGCTATGTTAACATTATTATCAAGATATACAGTTGTTTTGTTTTTGTACTGGGGATCGAACTTGGGAACTTCTGTTTGCAAGGCAGGCAGTGGCACCACTGAGCTAAATCCCCAGTCCAAGATACAAACTTTTCTATCATAAATGGTATGGAAAGGCAGTGGAAAAAGAAACAGAGGACAGAAATTTTATATTCCAACTACTGCCCATACAATCTACTAATGATCCTTCATGAACTCAGTTATGTCACTCTTGTCTCATAAAAAATCTTTTCAATAGGACCCCCCCAAAGAAACCCATTTATCTCCTAATAGGATAAAGTACACAATTTTAACAGTTACTAATTTAGTCTATGTTAGTCATACTTCAGTGATTTCTTGCATGGCTTCAGTAGGCCCTGGACAAGAGTAAATGTTTCCAGCTGGGTCACTTCCCTCAAAAGCTAAA